AATCAATCTAAAGATTTGCATCAAAGCTTTTTTTTTTTTTATAGTGATTTTAATCATTGTCAGATATCATTATACTTGATTCAACTATACCACGGCATCACTGTGCCGCGATCCCCCTGTGCTGGGTTTTTTTAATACCAACATACAGAATATTCAGTAAGTAAAAAACCAGGTCAATTGTTATAAATATTGAGTACAATAGAAATCCATTTCCTGATTTACGGAACACCGTGTATCCTGTAAAGGAAAAAATTATCTAATAAAAAAATGACAAATCAATAACAACTTTTGAAATAGTTCTTCATGATTTTTAAATATAGAAAAATCGCGGAAAAGTAATGCGTAATATTAAAAATAGAATAATCCACACCTCACATCCACTCTATATTTATAAATATTAATTACTTTCGAAGTACTAATTTAGTTAATTATTAAGTGATGGACATTAGGAAAAAGTGTTTGGTTAAGAAATTTAGATATGTTTATATACTGTTAATAACACTGTCAACATTACGCAACTATGTGGAAAGTTACTATTATTGCATTTATAAAAGTTAGATTGTTTGTTTAAACTTAATTTAGTTATCCAACTTCTATTTAGAATATCTTATTAATATTAGAGAATATTATTATTTTATTAATGTACATATAAAATATGATACATAATGGAACAATTATATCGTTATTATTATTGTATAGAATATCTCCCCACTTGTATTTAATTTTTACGTCATCCATTCAATGAAAAAAATACAATGGCCATGAAAATATTCTTTGCAATAGTTGGCGATGGTTTTCGTCACGTATCAGGTGAGAAGTAATGAGAGGTATCGTGTCTTGTAGACAAACCATTTTGTTCATTTCATTCAATTAAAAACATCTACATGTAAATTATAAATATAAATATTTGGAAAATAGTAAGGATTCTTCTGAATCAATTTTAAAATGAATAAAGTATTATATTTACTATTTTTTATAATAATCTCAGTTATTTCTCAACGCCAAAATAGTAAGTAAATTGTTGTTTTAATTGTAATTATAAAATTAAAATAAATTTTACAGTGCAGTCAAAATATATAAATTATATTATCTAGATCATGTAAATACATATTGGTTTTTTTTATTCATATAAAGATTTAGTTATTTATAATAATTAATTTTAAAATATATTGTATATCCTAATTTTAATATTTAATGTTTCTCTAAATAAATTCTATGCAAAATTAGTGTATTTAAATAAAGACTGACTTAAATTTTAAAACATTATTTAATAACAATAAGTTATTTTTTTGTTTTTAGAATGTCCACACATTGATGAAACAGGCAATTGTACAATTATAGATAGTTGTCCTATACTAAAAAATCTGTTAGAAAAAAGTAGTAATAGTCAAACTGTTCTTGCTTATCTACAAAACTCTGTTTGTGGTTACGAAGGAAAAAATATAAAAGTATGCTGTCCTACAAAACTTACATCTCCAAATGACACACTTCCTCAATTCGGGGTTTGTAATGAAAAAAATACTAATTTAATAACTAGTTCGTATAGAAATTCAGAATTTTTATCAAATTATGCTTCAACAACTTCTAAAACAGCAATAACGAACAAATGTGCTTGCGTCCTTCCTCAGTGCTGTCCATCTATTCGTGAATTATTAAAGAAACGCCAAGGATTATATTTATTAAAAAACTTAATGGAAAGCTTAGTATGTGGGCGCGAAGGAAGGTATCCTAAAGTTGTTTGTCCATTGAATAATAATATCACAGTATTTGGGAATGGCGTTAATAATGGTTATCTGAGTTCGGATAACGAAAATTATATTATGAGAGCTATGTACAATTGCATCGAAAATAAAAATTCAGTTGAAAATAAAATTGAATTAGGTACAAGTCAACCAATAAACACATCCACTCAAAAAATCAACAAGATTTCCACAGTCAATAGTATAACTTCGATTGAAGAACAACAATTGGGTTTGGAAAAAAATTGTGGACGAACAATTACTGTTCGTGATCGCCTTGTTGGAGGGGAAATTCCAAACCTAGGTGACTATAGTAAACTCAATTTCGGTCAATATATTTTGGCGTCACTTATGGTATCATACTTAAGCTTACGATGTTTCAGTACGTTTAAAAGGGCATGAAATTAATTTTTATCTAGCTGAACGTCATTGCCAAAACTTTAAGAAAATTAGTAATTTTTTATTTAATTTAATATTATGATATATTTAAACCTTTTAAAAATACATTTCTAAAAAAGTAAAAACAATTATCCTGTGTTGAATCAAAGGCTAAGGATAAAAACAAGTTTTGGAAACTTTCATAAAGTTATGATTTTTTCAATTAAATGATCTATTAGTTCTGGTTTCAATTTTAACCAATTAGTGCTATTTTTCAATAAACAGTTTATTACAATTTTAGTTTGAGTTAGATTAAGCTATATAATTTTATTTTTGATTTACTCGGGTTTTAGTTTTAATGTTGTCATAGCATTCTAGTTTTTTGGTACTTCAATTAGTGATACTTATAAATATATTTTGTTAACTAAACCATATAAATTTATAGCTTAAAGTTTTAAGTATTTATAGTAAGTTTAATATTAATTTAATATTCGTAATCTTGCTAAACAGAAGAATTTCTTCATTTTTCAAATTTATGAAAGTTGAGAACAATTTAGAATTTGCGAATTTTAAAATGAGACTTTAAATTTTGAGGTTATTAATATGATATTTTTTTTATAGATGATTGGCCGTGGATAGTCGCATTAGGTTATACAAATGCATCAAAAACAAATAATTATAATCGATGGTTATGCACAGGTTCTTTAATTACTGATAATTTTGTAGTAACAGCCGCACATTGTACACTTGGAACTAATATTGGAAAATTGTATTAATTGAAATAATACCAACTTATATAACTTCATAAAACTATTTTTTGTGTTTAGAAATACAGTGCGTATCAGTGATTTGAATCTTGATCCTAAAATTAATGATGGAGCTTCACCACAAGATATACTTATTGCTAAAATAATTGTACATGAACAATATAATGTTGAAAGATACACAAATGACATTGCACTTTTAAAATTAAAAAAATCTGTAACATTTAATGGTAAAATTAAAATAAAATTATTTCTAAATAAAAAAATTATAAAATTATAAAACATGTCTTACAGACCATATAAAGCCTATTTGTTTACCAACTTTATCTAATATAATATCCAAAACATTTGTCAAGTATTTTCCAACAATTGCTGGCTGGGATTCAAGACCTTCTCGTAAGTTGAATATTGTAACAGTTATAAATATTCATTTTCTTAGTAATATATCAATTTTTAATATATTATGGATCAACCATACTGAACTTAAAAATAATTATTTAATTCGATTGTTTTTTTCTTCAATTCTTAAAAATAAGGTTCAAATTAAAAATAGGTCCGGTCAACTTTGAAATTCATCTTATTATTTCAAGTTTGGTTAGTTAGGGTGTCATCAAAAAACATATCATATCACTAATATTTATCATTACTGATTTTAGGTCCTGTATCAAACACAGCTTTGATGGAAATATATAATCCAGTAATTGATAATGAAGTTTGTAAAAACTCATTTATAAAAGAACAAATTTACATTGACAATAGAGTACTTTGTGCTGGGTTCTTAGCTGGAGGACAAAATTCTTGCTTGGTAAAAATTATTATTTATTTATACTGATCGATACACAATTTTACTTTATTTTTATAACATTAATAAAATGTTATTAATCTAAACCTTTTTTTTAAGCGAATTTTAAATTTGCGTTTTGAATTTTCGTATGACATCTAGTTTTTGAAATATTTACTAAAGAGTAGTTAATAATAATATTATAAAAGCATTTTGTAAACTTTCAGATAAAGAAGTCAAGTTATGTCTATTATATAAAATTTTAAAGATGGGTTTGATAATGCATACTAATTACCTTTATAAATTATGTTAAAAACTTTAATTTAACTAATCAATATATGCAATGCTATATAAATTTTGACGTTTAAATTCTTGGTAATAAAATTTATCTCAGGTTGATTAGATTTTAGTTATATAAAAAATGTACAGTGACTTGTCCAAGGGGGGAGGTTAGGGGTCATATCTTCCCCATTGCGTTTTTTTTCTAGCATCGAGTACCTAACAGCAATAATTGAATAAAGTTGTAATTATTATATTTTATATTTGTATAACAACATTACATCATATCATACAAGACAAAAATATTAATAAATATTTTAATGAGGCTTGACCTCTAAAGCTCCTTATTAATCTTTTTCTAATTCTTTCACCCCCATTAAATGTATTTAGTTCTATTAATACTTATTAGTTATGACATCCCTCCCCATTTAAAATTCCTGGGCACGCCACTGAATATGTATGATATATATATATATATATGTGTGTGTGTGTGTATCAGCATTCAACAAGTAAACAAACACTGAATACATTAAAATTAGCCTCAAAATACTGTATAAAGTAATATTTTTATATTAAAATTATGTCAAAAAAGATTGAATTTTAGTAAATACTAATATATATTAATTTAACCAAGTAAATTCCGTTTACGCATTCGTTATTTCAATATTTAATAATCTTCTGTAATTCTGTATTATAATCTATTTCAAAATATAAAAGTACAAAAGAATTTGAATAAATTTCAAATCATTTAGAGAAAAAAAAACGTTTAGAAATTTTTAATTATTTTTTAAATGTCTAATTTGACTATTTTTAAAAATTAGTAAATATCTCAAAAATTAGGCGCGATAAAAATATGTTAAAGGTAAATTTGAATTTAGTACAAAAAAAACTGTTTAGAATTATATACTTTCATTAATTTTACAAAATACGAGTCGACCAGTGTAATTGAAGGGCGATAACCGGTTACCTCCAAAATTTTTTTTTAATTATTGTTATTTTTCTTTCTTTAAACTATTTATTTGTAAAGACCTTGAAGTCTTGGTAAAAATTATTCTCTAACGTTAACATCTTAAGTTACATAAAGTGTATAGTTAAGATATAATGTACAATGATGGAGGGAAATTTCCAATGAAGAGCTATAAACTAGTAAAATTTACATTAATTAATAGAAAATTTACAATAAGTCATGTAGTTTTAAACGTTTCATCTTTTAACACCTTGAAATAACCAAGAAAAGATATAGCTTTGTTGATGTGGGTCTTCAAATTATTTTCAGATGACCTTAAGTACCATTAAATTTCCTCTCTGATGGTTGTTATCATCATATCCTTGTAAATATTGTCATTTGCCTCATACATTTTTGCATTGATAGTAATGCATATAACTGTAATTTGTTTAGTTTGTATTTTGTCCAACAGTTGCTAGCACAGTCCCCAATAATTCAATACTGTAGGTCCAGATTGGCTAGTATAAAATATCTTAACAAAATATATTATATTTTGTTTTATTTTCATCTTATAGTGAATACACAAGTACAATTTAATTATAATTTATTCTAAATCCATATCTAAATGTTTAGCTGATTTTTATTGTAAATTATTCACTATCAAAAATTATTCTAAGTTACTCAAATTATAAAGTTTTTATGAATAAAATTTGAACTATTTAATAGCATTTTCTATCTTTTTGTTCATAAGAGGCTTTATCAATTTTTTTTGTACATTTTTTGTATCAATTGAAATGAATAAGATACAAAAATTACAATATTTTTAGCTGTATGTAAATATTTAATAAAGAACTTAAATATTACTGATATGTTTCTTTAATATTCATTTTTGAATATTTAGTCAAACTGCTTAGGATATTAAATTAATCTATTTATATTTACCTGTCAAAAATTAATGAACTTTTCATTTTTATTTCATGAAAAAAAATAGGCTAAGTAATGTATTCTGAAAAAGTGGAATTATCTGGTTGTTGCACCAAGCCTTTCAATTATATTTCATTTTCTTTTTTCGTTTTTGTCCATTTGTTCATCCATCTGATCAATATTTTTATTTAGTGTGGTTCTGGTAGTCCAATGATGTATCCTCACAAAGGACAGTGGTATTTAATTGGAATTGTTTCATATGGATTAAAGTGTGAAGAACCAGGACGGCCAACTGTATATACGAAAATATCACAATTCATTGACTGGATTAATTATAGCATAATCAATAACTAATTGATTATTATATCAATCGTCAATAGACACAATCTAAGTGTAATTGACACTACTAAGAAAGACTTGCAATGTTGTTTTTTAATTAAAATAACGAAGCACTGGTATATTTTCCACATAAAAATATGTGTTTGATATTAAACTGTGATAATAATGTTGATTATTATTTTTTTTTCTATAAATTTAATTATAATTTGAAATTTTTAAGAAAAATTATATCTTATAAAATTGACAATTCTTTAATTTCAAATTTTTACGGCATTTAGTTTTAACACAATTATTTTTAAAAAAATTATTATGTTTTAATAATGTATTTTAATTGAACTAAACTATTATATTTTATTCACTTTTCTAAAATATAATTATAAGATTTCGATTATCGATTAAATATATTATAAATATATTGTCAAATTAAATAAATATAATGATTCTGTAATAAATTTTAAAATTTTAATTATTATTTATTCATTTGTAATTAATAAATATAAAATAATTACCATATTTGTTTATCACGTCAATGCTTATTTGTTATTTTCTATTTTGATCGTTGTTCTATTTATAATTTCTCAAAATATAAATTAATAAATTATTTAAAAAAATAAAAATTTGACTGTACATTTACTAATTATTAAAACTCTAATAATACAAACATTTTATTTAAATACCTATGTTTATATTTATGTAGAGTAGTCTAGAATAACTTGACTCATTTTTTATTGTATCCAATCGAAAAACAAAACATCTATAAAATCAAATCTTAAACATAATAAACTAGAAAGATTAAAGTTTTACTTTGATTACTAATTTGAATGAAAAGATATAACATTTAATAACTACACCCGTTCAGTAATAACTTTTATATTGGATTCAATCTTTCGAAAATGTTCGAAAACTTTAGCTAACATATCTATTTTCGTCAATTCAAATAAATGAACAATGTTTATTCGTAGATCTTTCAATATTTTGGATAAGATGAATTAACTTTTACTTTAAAATATTCCTTTTTAATTACTCCCATAAAATGATCAATAGGAATAGTGCCAAATAATTTAATCGGTTTATATGTTTTAAATGGAATAATAAACGGTAAATATTATCGTGTAATAATAAACTAATTCCTTATCCCTGACTTTGAAATATGGTGTAAATTTTGGACCACGAATGAACGAAACGACCTCATTAATTCGATTCACGACCAAAGAACATATTGCTTCCAATGTTTTTCTTAAGACGATGTTTAAAAGAACAATTTGATAAATCCCTTTCGAAAATATGGAAAGATCTACAGGAAAACAGTATACATAACATTGAATTGATGAAGACAGATATATTCGTCAATGTTTCTGAAAGAGTCTCGAAGAGCGTAACAATTAGAAAAAAAACATGACTATTCAATAAGATAGCTTCGCTAATGTGATACCAATTTATTATAGTTTAGACAACTAATAAAAAAATCTGATAAAAATAAGATTTTGTAAATAAAATTAAAAAAATAATGTCAACAGTAAGACATTTATATAGTGTTTGAGTAATTTGAAATAATGTTTAGAAATAACCATTTTTATAATTATGTTATTATTTTACATAAAAAAGAACAATATCAGGTATGAACAGAATAAGAAAGGTTTCGTACATAACCTAATCGATAAAATTAATTTTAACAATTTTTATTAAAATGGTCAATTTGTGTAATATTTTCTCTTTCTCGAAATATATTTTTAAGTACCGTATAGTAATATTAATTTTTTTTTGAAATTTTTTTATAGATAAATTATGTAATTAATACATATTGTAGATTAATATTCAGAGTGATTCTTTTATTATGAACCACTCAATTGATTTAAAAATATAAATAATATTGATAACCTTTTTATTGGTTTCTTTTAGTTTCACGTATTATTAATTTATCAACTATTAAGTTATTTTTATGTTCATTCCTTACACTTTTGAAAGGGTTAAGTTTATTTTTTCAAAGAACTTATTTTGTAAACAATTGAGTGAGATATGATAAACAGATCACATAATATAAGAAAGTGAATTTTAAAAAGTGAAAATAACCGGTTTTTTACTAGTTCCTTTAATTATATTGTCTTTCAAAATCATTTATGACTTGCTATTTAAGAATTCAATTTAATTACTTTTATATAATATTTTTAATTTATCACAAATAAATAATTTTTAATTATAAATGTTAAGCTTAAAGTTTATAATTATATAAAAAAAGTAAATTGGGTAATTCAATCACAACTATCTATTGAATGGTGATGTCATACTTTTGTTAGTCGCTATTTTACATTATAATTTAAAGTAAATGTTAGAAAGTAGACATTAATTTGTTTTATCAATTTTAAATAAATTTGTTAAATGAATTATTTTTATTAAATATTTCAATTGTTAACAGTAAAACTATTATGAATAATGAAGGCATTTAAAGGTAATTTTGTACTTAACAAGGAACTAAAGTAGAATTAGCCACTTATTACTCATAAATTATGTACGATAATATGATGTACTATAAATTATAAATAAAGTAATGGACATATTATTTAAAAAAACCACTGTATTAATTTTGAAGTTGCCAAATGCTTGCTGATTTGAAGTAGTTTTATTACCTTAAATAAAAAGAATCATCAACATATCCCTTCTATTCTACTAAACGTATTTTTAATATTATTAATTTATACGTGCATTACGTTTTAATAATATGCTTCAAAGAAACCTGAAATTACGTTTATGTAGTATTTATTATTGCAATGGATTTCCCAACTTAGTGGGAGAAGGTAATGTAAAAAACCCAGAGACCATGAACATGCGATAATTTATTTAGATGCTAGTTGTTGTTTTTTAAACAACATATTTATATATATATATATATGTATATATCTGAATATTTTTTTATTTAAGAATAAACACAATCTATTATTTATTTCATTTAAATATTGGTGAATCAAATAGTTGAAAGGTTATTGAACAGAAATGTGTATATGTATTATTAAATTATAAAACTAAAAAAAAAAAACAAATTTATAGTATTAATTATTTTATGGTAAAAGTATTTTCCATTTAATAGATAATAATTTGTTACACATTCGTTTAGAACTTTACTTAATTTACAAAACAATAAAAATCGTTTGGTAAGTTTTTTTAATTATTTAGCTATTGCATAATTTAATTTATGATAATATTACTAATTTTTTGCAGAAATATTATATAAATTAGTTGACATAAAATATTTTAAAACACGATGAAATTATCTAAAGAAGTATACATGTTAAATTTAATAATTTTATCTTCTGCTTTTGTTGAAATTAAAAATAGAACTCAAGCAATGGTCAGTATCATATAATAGATTGATATTAAAAATTGTTTTATTATAAATCTAATAAGATGAAATAATGAAAAACAAGTTTGTGTACTAACATTTGATTTATTTTTTTAGGCATATTTGGCTGAATTTGGTTATTTAGAAACAGAAATGCAATTGCAACCACAATTAGCACATAAATTAACTAATAAAATGTTTAAAGAAGCTTTAATTGAGTATCAACTTTTTGTCGATATAACACCAACTGGTAAGCTACAATAATAATTATTAAACAGATTAAATCACATAAAAAAAATTATTAAACAGATTAAATCACATAAAAAAAATTGTAGATATAAAAAGAAAATGAAAAAAGTAGAATTACTTAAATTAATTAAATGTATAATTAACTGAATATACGACTATATGTCCAATCCGATGAAAATAACATCCCTACCTCATTATTCTTTCGAAGAAAAAAACTATGTTATCTCCTACAAAATATCAGGTATAAACGGTGTCATAGGTAAAATATTACTCTCTAGATCAGCTGACTCGTTAAATGGAAATTACGATACGAATGTGTAAAAAAAATGTATCTTAAAATAATACATAAGTATTCCTAATAATGATAAATTAAATCATTGTTATTTCGTAGGATTTTATCTTTATTAATTTTATAATGAGTTAATATATTTTTACTTAAATTTTATTTAGTTAGATATGCGATTTATATACATTTATTTTTATATTATGACGTAAATAAAGAGCAGTTAAAACTCACTATCCTACTAGTTTACATTATTTCTATCTGTAGAAATTAATACTACGCCTATGTAGTAAGCGCTAGAAATTATTTGTTTTATTCTGACTAGACTAGAAATGATCTCTGTAAAATGTTCAAAATAATTTGTTACAATATGTTTATTTAGTTTAGTAAGGAAATTTTTTATTTAGTAAGGAAATGGGATTCTATTGTTCTCAATGAGGTTTATAACATTTGATCTGTTTCCTTACTTCTGAACACGTGTATATAAAGAGTGGAGCAGATCTAACTGACAAATCATGTAGTTTATGATCTACATAACATTTTATACTTTTTTTTACAATATAAAACCATATTCAAAATATGTTTTATGTTATTTTTTCCAATTCCAAAAAGGTTTTTAAAATGAATTTTTTTTAAGATTTGAAGATTACCATTTTTAGATAAGTTTTAAAGAAAAATTCTGATAACAAAAACTCGTATTTTAATTCAGTAGTTACGTTTAAAAAGCATTTTGAAGTTTGATAATTTTTTTTTTTTTACAATTTTCGTATGGTACATGTTAGTCTATATTATTTAAAGGACGAAAGTTAACACTGTATTATTGGGTTATTTACTGGTAACATTTTTTTTCCATAATAACGTTTAACGCGCATTTTACAGAAATGATTATCTTTATTACAAAAATTAAAAACATTATCATATGTCAACTACAATTGTTCGATGGTTAGCCAAGTTAAAAGTGATAACAATCATTAATTTACGTGATTCTACCATTGTAATCATATTATTATATGATATTCCTTGTTAGGAGATTTGATAATAAATGTATTTATTCACGTTTAAATTTATAATATATGAACTTCTTTAATTAAAAACTCAACATGTTTTAGAAAACGTTTTTATAATTTTTTTTAATTATCTTATTAAATGTTAATAATTTTCATGGAAAAAAAATCGCGTACTGTTACTAGTAAATAACGTAATAAGAATTTATTTCCGTACTTTACATAATATAGACCAACATTTGATGCCATAGGAAAATTGTAAAAAAATAAAAATTTAACAAACTTTAAAATGCTGTATTAACGTAACTACTGAATAAAAATGAGAGTTTTTGGTCTCAAAATTTTTCTTTTAAACTTATCTATAAAATAGATATCTTCAAATATTTTTTTTCCTTTATTAATATACAGAGTGGCCCACCACTCACTGACAACTTAAATAACTTTTGATCCAGTTAATATTTTTAGTTGAAATGAAAATTCAAAATTTCACAAACTTCAAAACGCTACAGAATATTTACTACTGAATATTAATAAGATATTTTTTTACTAAAATTTTTCTTAAATTCTACTCTACAAAATAGCTATCTTAGATTTTTTTTTTACTTTTTATTTAAAATTTTAAAATAATTAATATTTTTAATAAAATGTAAAAAAATTAATTATTGAGATATAGCTATAGACCTAACGTCTAACTAATATTTAAAAAAAAAATCAGCTAAAAATATTAACTGGATCAAAAGTTATTTAAGTTGTCAGTGAGTGGTGGGCCACTCTGTATACACGATCTGTTTTCTATAGGTACAATAAGAGTATTAGCTAAAATAATTATAACATGAAATACTTGATAAAAGAAGCCACCCATTGATGACACTTTTAAGTGATTATTTTCATTTTTTTTTCTTTTTTTAACTAAAGTTAAGTTAATAAATCTCTACAACAGTTGCGCTTTAAGCAAAAAATAATTTTTTAAATATTTTTTGTAATTGAGAAAAATAATATAAAACATATTTTGAATAGTTTTATATTGTAAAAATTGATTGAAAATAAAGTATAAAATGTTATGTTGATCATAAAAGTAATATGAGTTGTTAGTTAGATCTGTTCCACTATGTATAGCCAAATAAACAATTAATATATTAATAATCTAAAAAAATATTAATTAATTAAATAATTCACAGGGACAATGTGCCCGAGACAGTAACGTGACAGTATTTGATGCATATTGTCTCAGTCTCAAAAATATGTTACAGGCGGCTTTGTTTATCTAGCCAGATATCAGTATCGTTTGGAAGTTATCATTTTTCTCTCAGATGATGAATTAAACATTTGTTCCGCAATAAAAACGATTAAAAGGTCTTTACTCTAAAGGAAAATTGCAATGTCCCTTTTTGAGTTCTAAACGCGTAAAAAATATTATTTAACAATTAGAAAAAATTAGGGAAGTAACCGGGGCTAGTTGTTACATAAGCTTTTAATTACAAATCTAAATTACATTAATAGTCATTTATCATACCATATCTTATCAAAACAATTCTAATTATTGTAGTCTTTACAAGAGACCTATTAAAAACGTGAATTATCTTTTGCGCTCAAAAAAATACTATTTTTATAGCCCTTTAAAGCCAAATAAAATATATATGCTAAGGTATTGTGATATTTTTACATGCCAAAAGACTCATGGCAAAAATTTTAAAAAAATGTGTAGAAAGAATAGACAATTTTGCAATCTCACATATAATTTTTATTAGTTACTAAAATTTATTGAACATATAAAAGAACTAAAAATAGTTTAAAAAACTTACCAGTCCGATGTACAATCGCATGAAAAGTGATAATTTTTCCAACCTAGTGTTTATAGCGTGGTAATAATTGTCCTCCCTCCACTAATACTTCCGAAATAACATCACATTGAGGGACAAAAAAAGCCAATAAGTTTTCCTAATATAATTTTACTAACGTCGTGGTTACTAACTGATATATTTAAAATTATCAATTGTTAGTTTAATAATATATTTTTTTTTAATTAGACTAAACCACTGTTCACATTCATTGTATACTAAATTATCATTATTTTTACATTATGTTATTATTATACATTATATTAAGACACAAATATATTATTTTATTTAAAAAACAATAGGACTACTGGATACGGAAACATTAAAAGTTATGAACACTCAAAGGTGTGGTTGTCATGATAAATTTTATAGATTTAAAAAAGAAAGATTTAAACGATTTGAGAGGTTACGTAAGTGTCAACATATAATAACGCCAAACAATTTTACACATATTAAAAACTTTTAAATTAAAATATATTTTTATGTACATAATTTAGCGGATGGTTGGAGATTAAATGATTTACACTATAAAATATTAAACTATCCTACAAGAGAACTTGATAATACACAAACGGATATAGAGATTAAAAAAGCATTTGATCAGTGGTCTGAAGTAACACCATTGAAATTTACACAAATTTATTCAGGAACGGTAAGTATATAGCAAATATTACATTTTTTTTAATGTCACATCACAAACGATTGTAATCAAATTTTGAAAAATTATCATTTAGGTAAATTTGTCTTGCTTAACGTTAAGTAATTTTGTTAAATAATGACCTAACTTAATTTAAAGGTTTTTAGTTTATTTTATGTATAAGTTAAAAAAATTATAATTTTTGAAAATATTCTATTAAAAACTCAATTATTTTGAGTAAGCAAAATTCATTTAAAATAACATTTTAAATGTACAAATGATTTTTTGATTTTTTAATAAAATTTAACCAACACTAATTACTTACAAAAATAATTTTAACTACTTCCTTTTTGTTTTAAAAATTAAGTAAATAATTATTATGACAATAATTGTTTTATTTGTTTAATTTTTTATAAAATTGTGTTTTTATTAAGGCACATATAAATATAGCTTTTAAATCAAATTTCCATGGGGATTTAATGTCATTTGATGGTACATTAGGAGTTTTTGCACATACACTTACTCCTAGTAGAGGCAATGTTCATTTTGATGATTCTGAAACATGGACAACGGGGACTAAAAGAGGTAAAATGAACTCAAATAGATAACTGTATAGTTTATATTTTTAAATTAATATAAAATATATATTAATTATTTAGGTACTAATTTATATCAAGTGGCTCTTCATGAGTTTGGCCATATGTTAGGATTAGATCATTCGAAAATTAAATTTTCTGTTATGAGACCAATTTATCCGGGGTACAATCCAAATTATAAATTAAAAAATGACGACATAGAAGGAATTCAAGTACTATTTCATAACCAGGTATTATTTAAAATAATTAATTGCTATGTATGTTATAGGAGTTGTATGGTGAAAATACTTCTATGGATAGACAAAAAAAAGTTATTGCTAAAAGACATACAAATCAAGAATATAATAAATTTAATAAATATCATAAAGATATATGCAAAAATCCTAAAATTGACACCATACTTATTTCTCGTGGTGGAGAAACTTATATATTTAAAAGTAAAAAACTTCTTACTAAATTTTTTATTTTCTCTATCGTCACTTAAGAAGCAACGCCGTAAATATTTTATGTTGTCTAAAATGAGTTAGCAACACATTTTTATACGTTTTATTGTGGTGCGTATATTGGTGTACTCAGATATGTAATAAAGTAAAAAAAGAGTTTTAATAAAAAAATTGATAACACGACTTAATGGTTTCAATGGCGCAGAAATAAATTATTTTCCAGTAAAGTTTATAAAATAAATTGTTAAATATCTTAAGTAACGATATAAGACATAATATATGTAAATTATACTATCGAATTTGATGTTTTATTTATTTTTTTATCGATAGGAAATATTTTTTGGAAGTTGACCACCAAACGAGATTTTGAAGATAGATATTTACAACTAATTAACGATGTATGGATAGGTCTACCAAACAATATTGACGCAGTATTCACTTATAATAACCAAAAAACTTATTTTTTCAAAGGCTCTAAATATTGGAGATTTACTGAAACTTCTTTAGATAAAGACTTTCCAAGAGAAATTGCTTTCGGTTTTGCTGGTATACCTAATAATATTGACAGTGCAATGAATTTGAACGATAAGATTTATTTTTTTAAAGGTACTGAGACTCTCAATATTTATTATTTCAAAATTTTATTTTACAATTTGTGCCAGGTGAAAAATATTGGGTATACCACCCAACTAAAAATCCTCCCGTATCCAGTGAATATCCTAGATCTCTGAGGGACTGGAATGGTGTGCCATCAAATATAGATGCTGTTTTTAGTTTTAACAATAGTAATATTACATTCGTAAAAGATGATTCATATTACACATTTAAAACTTCAACATTTTTGGTAAATAATCAACTATATAAACATTGATATTAAAGTTATTATGGTAATGTTAGTTATTTTGAATTTTTAGCTTCGATGCGATGCTGAAAAGGTGTTAATTTTACTATGATGTGTTTTTTTTTATTTTTTTTTGTGTCTGTTGCCACTTTTTCTCAGCTCTCACTGAACCGATTTCTTTCAACGATACGTCAAAAGATCACAAATCGTATCTAGTTGAAGATATTACTCTTAAAAATTAAACAATTTCCCCTCGTTCCCTGCAAATGAAGGAAATTTCTTCAAACAAATTAAAATTTTTAAAATCGGTAAATTTTGTCATTTTTTTCATGACAATACTTCTCCCACTTGTAAATAGAAATGTGAATAACTTCCTAAGTACTGGTCCAAAAGTTGTTTTTGGCCAATTATTTTCTTAATTAAAACATTTTATATTTTATATACTTGTTAAATATTTATATTACCATAAAAAAAAATTAAGTTATACCCTTATAATATAAAGGGATGAACTTAAATAATACTTAAATCTAAAAATATATTTAACTAAATAAATAAAAAAAATCGATATATATACATATCTGAAATTATTTTTATTGTGTAAGCAAATGCATATTGGTTTGTTTGTATTTTTTAATTTTTTATTTAACAGGTCGAAAACTCTAATATTTCATCTACTAGAAGCATAAATAAGGACTGGTTTTATTGTTGAGAGTAAACTTACAAAATGTGTATTATTGTTAGTTAAGAATTGTATTATTTAGAAGCTAATCTTCATTCAAATACTCGTGTCTTACTACTAACTATACTACCAGCACATATATTCAATGTTTAAATATTATATATAAGATTGTATATACCGACAAAAAATATTTATTATTAACAGTTGTGTACTTTGATTTAATAAAAAAAATGATTTTTCTAGTGTACTATAAGTTGTCAGTTTAATTTTGAAAGAACCTAATCGAAATAACTTTTATTAATCTCGAAATTTACAATTGAATAGTTTATTTTTAGGATTTATGATTGAAAGTGAAATATAAACCAGTTATTATTTTTTTACTAATAAATGAAGAAGTATTTAAATAAAATTTTAATTGTACGATAACTACATTTATGACATTTATTTTTAAGATACTAGTATTTAAAGATTTAGAAAAAGAGAGTGGCGGTGTAATGTTTAGCGATATACTATTTTTGATATGAATTCTTCAACATTACGCACCCTTCTCATCTAAAATAAAAATTACATTAACTCAAAAAATAATTATACAAAACTGGTTCGACCAGTCAAAATTTATTTAGAATATTTTTTATTTAATAGTAAAATGATAATAATAGGTTCCCATATAACCTTCGAAAGTAATACAAAAAAAATAAAATTAAAGAAATAATATTTTCTTACAATGAACTTAATATTTACTTTTTTTTATAAAAATAAATCGAATTATAATTTGTATATTTTTATGAAAAAATCATTGTTTAACAAAGAAATCACATTATCTGTCGGTTAATACGCACAAAGCCTATAGAACAGGCCACAGTCTGATATTGAATATCTTTGCTAAGTATCTTTCACATTAAATTACTCTATATATGGAATAAAAATGGAAGAGGTGTTTAATGCATAGTCTATAGATGATTACAATTAGTGACGCATTCTTTTTGTATAGAGGGAGTAATGTAAAATAAGAAATAACTAACAACATAAATAACTAACCACAAAACCATTTGTCCACTTCGAATAACACGATTCATTTATAGTTGTTATTTTATGTAATATTCAAAAATAATTTTAATCGTAAAAATGTTCATTGAGAACGTTTATTAAAGTATTGAAAAAGACGGTTAGAGGATTTTTCTTTAATAGTAAGTATCAAGTTATATGCAATAAAAAAGAAAAGAAAATAGTTAATTTATATTATTATGATGAAACAAATGATTTAATACTAGTATTTATTTAGTTAATAATTTTCATTAATGTTGTGATAAATTGAGAATTAAATTTAAAAAAAACAAGTTTTCTAGCTGAACTTTAGACGTAGACATCTATTTCAATCTATTTTAACCCTTCACTGAATGAAAGTAAATATAGACATGCTTACAAAAGTTAATTTAAATTGCATTTTCAATTAAAATGAACATTTTTGGAGTTGTTCTTAAGCACAATACTTTTCAAGGTCAAATTCTAAATTCGTTCAGTGAAAGGCTAAACGATAATGAACATGATTCCGGTTATGCTCAAATATTATTTTCATTATATTAATTGTACTGTTTTCAAGATTTTTTTTCTATATCCAGTAAAGATAATTTATTGCATCATTAATTTTAATTTAATTGAAAAAAAATGGTTTATAATTATATTTGAATAGTATATTTTTCATAGTGTGCCAAGCTGTATACAAGTTAAATAGTTGTAGTATAATAATGAAAACGTTACAATTTCACATTATCTTTGGATTGATAGTTTTACTTTATAAACCAGGATGTGCTTTCGAGGAAATTAAGAACAAAAGTCAAGCAGTAGTAGGTTATATTATACATATTACAAGTAAATTTATTAATATTTATGTTGTCTTCTTATATTAAATTTTTGCAATGTTAGATTTTTTATAATAAATAATTTGTAGCATATTATTTTGGTTTAAATATTCATGGATTATTTCATAATAACATACAAGTGATGTTTTTTATGTACAGTATGATTCTTTTAACGTTAGTCACTATATTTCTCTTAAAATAATAATCATGTTTAAAATATTATTACTGGTATTTTTAGTTTCATATATTTCTCGATTTATCAGTCATTAATTACTTTAAAATTCAGCCAATATTCCTTATAAGGGTGTCAAATTTTATTTTTCAAATGACAACATACATATTTAATTAGTTTATGAAATAAAAAATGGTCTAATTAATAAAATAACTGGCCAATAACGACTTTTGACCAATTATTTCGGAACATATAATTACTTTAAAATATATAATGTATGTGAGGTATGAGTTATGCTATTTTTATCATTACACATTAATCTGCCGCGCTCTTCCTCCACTCTATATTTAAATATGTTAATAACTTCTGCAATACTATTTAAAAACTTGTTATCGACCAGTAATTTTATTAATTAGATCATTTTTTTATAAGATAGTTAAATACATAGAGTGTTTAATAAATAAGTAAACGTGTTTCTATTGTTCTTATTGTTTGTAAAAAATTACTTGTTTCTTACTTACTCAATACTTATATTTCATCATTAAAAAAAATTAAGTTATTTNCAATACTTATATTTCATCATTTAAAAAAATTAAGTTAATTCCCATATAAGATATATGGGTTAAATTTTAATATAATTAATAACTAATAAATTAATAAATATGTGAATTAAAAAGGAAAAATGTAATAAAATAGTATAAGTAAAAATGGGGTTTAAGACAGTTGAGTAAACGGCAGCTAAACATATGAGGGTAATGATCAAACATCAGCTTTGATGCAAATCTCAGACGCAATTTATACAACCATGACAAAACTTTTTTCAATACATTTTTTTCTTTTAAATTTATGAAAATGTTCCAGGAAGTCCGACATATTAAAACCTATTTAAATTTACGTCATTAATAAAAGAAAAAAATCGTTCCTACCTTATTACTCGTGACATTGATTATACTAACATCATATATATATAGATTCTCAATTAAGTTCAGCCAATCACATTTAAGAATTAATTAAAATCTCTAGCTTCAATGACACGCTAGGGATTGTTACTCTACCCTTCTCCGACTATAAAAAAAACACATTTTTTTCCTATTTAAATCAGTACTATCGGTAATTTCAAAATACACAAAATCTCTACTCAAGATTCTCACTCTCTGGGACTTAGTTTGTTTATTTAATCTGGACTCATTTAACAAAGATGAAATATAGGTATATTATTGACAAAAATATAGAATGTTTGGAATTCTCTTTTTATATATAACAATTAGTCATAGATTTTGTGTAACGAGATCGTATTATTTAAAATTAAATCGTTTCCTAAATAGTTATATTGACTATACAACGCGTAGTGTAAAATATATGAAACACAGAATCAACGTTGGATTGTTTAAAATATCGTTATTACGCAATAGATTGTGTAATAAACCATTAAAATAAATTATAACATTTTGTAAGGGATATTTAACAAAATTTATTCAATATTGTTCAACCCTGAGATCAGTGTTCTATTTTATCATAAGTTTTTATGTTTATTTTATTTATTTGATCATTACCCTTAAATGTTCAGCTACCGTTTACTCAGCTGTCTTAAGCGCCATTTTTACTTATACTATTTTATTACATTTTTCCTTATTGTTTCACATATTTCTTAATTTATCAGTTATTAATTACATTTAAATTTAACCCATATACCTTATATGTGTATCAATAAAATTATTATTAATAAAAGAAAAGAAATCGTTTCAATTGTGTTTCATCACTTGGTATCTTAATATTTTTATATAACTAAATCTAGAATATACAACTATGCTGTATTTCATAACACATAAATTCATTATAATCTATGCAACATAAGAATTCAGTAAAAAGTAAAAATTGAATCATTAAAATTATAATCATCGATAATGATAACAGAGTATGCAACATTTTCTTGTTTAACGATTTAATTAATTGCTTGAAATGTTTACGGATGTATCAACGTTTTCAATTATAAGCTGACATTCCGAACTCGTTGCAATCTTTGTCGTATTATTGTTGACAGCAAAAAAACCGAAAGCTGTCAATAACACAAGAAAAACAACATATAAACAATGTCCAGATTATCAGTTCTTAACTAATATAAAAACATATCACAAACAAGCTATGCCGATAGTACAGTTACAACCATGAGCTTGAAATTATTTGTTTGAAGACGGACACTGCAACGAGTCCGAAACGTTAGCTCATAACTGAAAAAGTGGATTCATCTGTAAACATTTCAAGCAATACATAATCAACTCATTCAATTTAATTAATATACTTTTTTTTTTTTTATAAAAATAAGATAATTAATATTTTGAATACAATATAAATAAACAAAAAATAATATCTCTTGTAAATAATTTATTAAAAAAATTTTTTTTTTATTTTAAACAGACAACAAATTTTTATACAAACGAAAACTTAATTAAATGTTACTAAGTTATTCATTTGTTTTAATAATACAGCAATATTTAGGCTGATCTATGGTAGTCTTATTTTTACAATTAAATTATTTTTTATTGACATAGTCTTAATAATTTTTTTAACTTTTTGTCTCAGCTAACATTACTCTTTTTCAGCTTTTTTGAGAACCTTGTGTTTTGCCTTATAAATCTGTCACTCGTATCCTTCAAATCTCTTGAGGTTATTTCAAATCTCTTCCTTCCTCTGTTGCTTTTTTAAGCATATTTTTACAGATAACAACAGCTTTCTCGATTAGTCTAATATCAGTGTTGAGAAGGAACTAGTTCCAAAAGGAACGGATTCCTGGAACGAGTTCTTTTTGAAGGAATGATGCTAGGAACTGCTTCCTTTTAAAATAAAGGAACGAGGAAAATGAACAAATTCCATTTTTTAAGGAACGTGAACGGAAATTACAGTTCCTAAAATTTTTTATAAACATGTTTTAGTGTAGTTTTCTTCGTATCTAGACATTAAAATATTATGGTATTTTTAGTTGACTTTTGACAATGGAAGTCCCCTATATACCCAGCCGAGATCGTAGGCTGTTTAAATGAATCAATTGATTATAGATAGAGTTATTATCACATGTAGGTATACAGTAAATATTTAATATATGTGTACATATATTAAATAATGCACTGAATATTATCGTCGTTTCTTGTTAACTAATTTATGTTAAAGGTTTTGGGTTTTCTGATTTATTATTTCTAACTTATATGTAGACAATAGACATTGGTCGCGTTGACACAAGTCGTTAGCATTTACTACCTGCTTATAAATATAATTTTCGAATACTTTTAGATAAGGAATACTACAAATTTGTTTTGTATTCGACTGCTGATGAAAATCATTGATGACCGTTATCATGATCTCATTGCCACAATTTTTTAAATAACTTNTTTAAAAAATTGTTGGATTATTCCAAAAGCTACATGATCTGCTAGTTCCTTATTAATATCCTGATTATGATAAAGTATGACAAATGANCTAGTTCCTTATTAATATCCTGATTATGATAAAGTATGACAAATGAAAAAGGGATTATTAAAAAATATTATTTCTCATAAAAAAATTGTGTTGTTCCATACACTTTTCAATAAGTTATAGCATTATAAAGTTAAAAATATAAAAAATAAAATTGAGAATTTTCACACAAAAATAGTATTTGTTAGCCATTTTCACCACAAAGACAAGTCCAGAGGTCAATTTTCTTTTTTTTTTAAATTAAAATATATTACATAAGCTTTAATTTAAGATATATATATATAAGTGTCAGACCTTCCGGAACATTTTCAAAGTTGAAAAAGTTAATTTTTTGTGAAAAAGTTGTCATTTTAAATCCCCTCCTGTTGGCAGGTAAAGGGTTAAATTTATAAAAAAAATATACCAAATGATATATAAAGACATCAAGCATCTATAAAAAAGTTATAGCAATTTTAAGTAAAAAAAATTTCGAAAATTAGCGAATTTTAAATTTGTAATTTTTTGGAGGTTTTCCCCATTTACGGAGAACGAGGGATTTTTTTTCAATTTTTGAGGGTAATGTCTTCGACTAGATACGATTTGTGATCTCTTGACGTATCATTAAAAGAAATCGGTTCGGTGAGAGCTGAGAAAAAGTGGTAACAGACACAAAAAAAAAATAAAATAAAATAAACACATCTTAGTAAAACGAATACCTTCTCAGCTTCGCATCGAAGCTAAAATAAAATTTATAAAAGGATTTATAAATTATTCGTAATATAATAGTGTATAATATAAAATATGAAATCATATAATATATGTACAACGGCAATTGGTCATTTTACTCGATAGACGGCTAAACTACAACTAAATTTTAAATATGCATACAATAGCCTGCATTAAGTAAAATAACATAATCGAGAAAGGAATTTGTCCCTTTTGACCTTGTACTAAACTAACATAAGTAAAAATACATTAAACTGTTATCTTAAATGATATTACTGTACCTTTTGTGTTGTTTAATATCAACAATTATCAATTTCAGATCTCAAAAAATAATGGACTAGGTAATTTTATGGTTCTAGTAATACCCAAATGAGTATTATGAATTTTTTTATTACATATTTTCTTAACTTACTGGGCACTATTAACTTTAGTCCTAAGTAAATTAAGCCAATTTTCATTATAATATCATTTTTTAATTTAAAATAGTCTTTTAATTCTCCTTATAATTACACTCAAGAGGTCAACCATTTTTGACGAATTTATTTACTTTGTTTAATATCATATATTTAGTTTTAGCATTTTTAATTCATTCTCTTTATTAATCTCAAATTTCAATTATACTTTTCTAAAATATGCACAACATCTTTTGAGTTCTCTTCATCCTCTTCCTTACTTACAACTTAATAAACATTACAATAATTACAACCTAAAAAATTAGCCACATACATATATTTACCAGATAATAATATTATGTATAATAATATGTTTTAAAATTCAATATTATTATCAATAATTTAACTCTTAATCTACTCAGTCTATTATTTGGAATTTTATATAATTTTTTTTTTTAACTGACACTATTTTAGTCATTTTTGACAGTTGTGCATTCTAATGAACAATAATCCACTCTTATAATAAATTTCTAAATACTGATATGCAGGACTCACAGGAAATTATATAATGAGATCCTAAACATGAGCTAGTTCGACATTGGTTAATATTATCAACAACTTCTATTCAATTAATTATCTTCAAATACTTTATTTTTTAGGAATATTTGTCGGCATTTGGGTACTTGGAAACAGCTTTGCAGTATAACCCTAAATTAGCTCATAAACTTACAAACAAAGTTTATAGAAATGCGCTAATTGAATTTCAAATATTTCTAGACATACCTCCTACTGGTAAGTCAATATGTCAAAAAATTTATGACAAAATTCATTCAAAATTAAAATATTAAACTTTTATGTTTTTCAATTTTATATGTGAAATTTAGGTGGATCTAGAGGGTCTTAACTACCTCAAACTCTGTGTCTAATAAGCAAGGCTTAATATCAATTTAAATCGTAAATCAGTGATAACATTTTAAAAATATAAATATAACTATATCAATAACGTATGGATAACAATAAAACTAAAAAATAAGAAAAATATATGTAAATAACGTTCTAATAATTAAACCCCGTTTTAACATTTTTATTGCGTTTAAACATATTATAAGTCATTTTATAAATGACGTTTATATTAAAATGTTATTTATGATTTATTTATTTATACACTATAAATAAAAAAAAACATTCAAATTCTAATTCCATTCAAATTGTTATTAATAATTTATTTTTAGGTATTTTAGACAAAGAAACTCTAAAAGCTTTAAATACTCAAAGATGTGGTTGCATTGATAGATTTTATAGGGTCAAACAAGATCGATTTAAAAGATATGTCAGACTACGTAAGTATTAAAAAATATAAAATCAAATACTCGAATAATTGAGTGTGAATTCAATTGTATTATTTAGTGAACTTTATAATAAAATTTTATTTATATAATTAAATGCAGGTCTTAAACAATTTCAATATTTCTAATTCTGCTTACATTTTTTATTTTAATTCTATATCAAATACTTGAGTTATTTTTAAATTATACTTAAGGAACAAATACATATACATCTTTTAATATCAAACAATAAAATTATAGTTTTTTAACGAAAAATTTCATAATATCATTTGACAAAAGTAGCATATGTTATGAAATTTTATGTTATTAGTGAAATTTAACAATTTTTTATTCAAATAGAACATGTTATAGTCATTATGATTACATCATATTAATATGACGTTCCACCAATCGGTGTTATTGAAGATGATGGCGGATAGACACTGCGGCGGCTTTGAAATAATAGTGATTACAGTACTACTTTGCCAGGCGACGTTAAATAGTAGTGACTACCAATCGGTTATGATAGTAGACGTTTATTATATAACGATAGTGTATCGGTAGCGGCAGCTTTTGGTTAATGAGGATTGCTACCAACGCCACCTTAGTACACAATGATGACTTGCCACGGTGCTGACCGTTAGCAATTAGTTACCCGTGCCGTAGAATTGGTGATGCTGTGTCCCGTAACAAAGTGAAAAGTTGCAGTCGATGATAACTACAGAAAATAGCTGAAAATTCTGGTTAGGTGGTTGGCGGATGCCTTAAAATGCTGAGTAAAGAAAATAAGGTAGTTATAACCTTAGTCACCACTCAAATAAGCGCCTCTCTATCAATCCAGCACAGATATACAAAATGCGGACCCATTGAGAACCTTGTATAACAATCACGTTAAAACACGCTGATCACAACACGGATATGGAATCATAAAGTAGATGAAGGAAATAAATGAATGAATCTGGATCGAGCAGCGGCGCTCAGCTGGAGACAGTAATGAAAAGTCAAAGAACTAACCGATGCTGAATCATCAGCGGAAGATCGAAGACGGAAGCCATCTGGACGGGCTATAGATGACGTCTTGATACATTAAGTGGAAAAAGAAAGAATGTAGTACCCTAGTGTAGGCAAAAAGTATACTATACGATAGACACGCTATGGAGGATAACTGCATCACAGATATGTTGAACCGTGAAGGTTGTTTTGGCATTGATAATTTAGTAGGACCATTCTTTTCATTGTTCAATTATTTTATAAATATGTAAAAAGAATCTTGAAGAAAATAATCAGTGTTCTTGATGAATTGTAAGCGTTTTATCTTGTCTTCCGTGTACGTTTGAGTATTGAATCTGTTTTTTCTTTTATGAAATCTTATTATTTAATTTATCATTTGATGTTCATATGCTTTATAATGGGATTGTTAAAATTATTTGAATACCGTTATATAAATCATAATTGGTTTATTATGTTTGTACGTTTTACTGTAGGACATTTTAAGGATAGGACTAATTGTGTCCATCATTTTTCTTTCAGGTATTGATATGTTCTATGTACTCCGTTTCCGATTTTTTATTAATTATTAATATGTCATAAAATTTAATTTGTAATATATTTAAAGAACGTTTAATATTAACACTACATTTTTTATTTAATTTATGTTTCCATAATATTATATTTGTTGATACATTTATCGTTGTTTATTTTTATTCATTTTATAATTTTTACTAGATGCATAACAATAAATAGCAGATATTGGATTAAAAAAATTGTTGACTAAAAGAATTAAATTGACTACTAAATTATCTTAACTTGTTGTACATACTATGTACAACAACATATTATGTTTGTAAAGTTTATTTTTGTATAATAGAGGAAAAAATTAATATCATCTTAAAATAAAATATGAATATAAGTACCTATTTATATATATATAATAAGTATATATTATGCATCATTTTTAGCACACAATATTTTAATGTATTAGATATTATTATTTTTTATTTGTTTTTTTTTAAATATTTTATTTTAAATATTATGTTGTATATTTAATAAAGAAAGAATAATAATTATGAAAGATTGTTTCAATAATAATAAATAACATATTATTAGAAAAAATGTCATTAAAGGGTGGCTTCTTTTATCAAGCTGTCATGTTATATATTTATTTTTACAAATAATATTGTACTTTTGGAACAGATTATGTTTTATTAGTAATGAAAAAATCTTTTATATTTCCATTGATGTTTAGAATACAATGTTCATTTATTTTTATTATTTGTAGCTGATGGTTGGAGACTTACTAACTTGAACTATAAAATATCTAGATATCCAACTAGAGAACTTAACCAAATTCAAACAGACACAGAAATTAAACGAGCTTTTGATCAGTGGTCAGCAGTAACACCGCTTAAATTCAATCAAGTAGAAAATGGACCAGTATGTTTTAAAATTATATCTAACATACATGCACACATATTTAACTCGCTTATAAAAAAGAAAATATTTTTATTAAGGAAATAGCTGGTCGATAACAATTTTTGAACTATTATTTCAGAAGTTATTATAATTTAAAATATTTACAAGAAGTTAGACTCGGGTGCTGCTATTTTTATCACTGGATATTTCTCGGTTTCACGCTTCATTCCGTCTAGGTATAAGAATATTCATAACTTTTGAAATACTGGTCAAAAAGTTGTATCGACTCGTGTTTTCCTAATTAGATAATTTTCTATTATTTAATAAAATATATCTGTTATCATTTAAAAATTAAAGCTGGCACCTTTATAAATTATGAATATAAAAAATATTCCTTAATTAATAAATTTAGAAAAATATGTAACTAAAAAAAATATCAATATTATTGTTAGATTAATTGAGTGATTCACGGTAAAAGTATCACTTGTATAATAATAATTTACGACAAATTTATTTATTCATCAACCTCCGAATATGGTTTATCTTTATAATAAATTATTATATAAACAACATTATTNGGTTTATCTTTATAATAAATTATTATATAAACAATATTATTATATTTTTTATAAATGTAATAGTTAAAAATCTTGTTTTCTATTTGATCATATGTTGTATAATTTTTTTTTATGGGATACTAAAGTCTATGATGATTAGCTGCTGTTTGTTAAATGATAAATTGTCAATTGTCCTTTTCGTATTTTTTAATATGTTCGAAAATTTTTGAAATAGAAGTACAATAACTGATAATTGTTTTCTAAAATTTTGAATGCTATTAATTATTATTGATAAATTAGCAATGATAGATTCATAAGCATACTAGGAGATTAGTGGAAATGTTTACTATACAATAGCTCTTCTTTATCTGTTTAACTCAATTTGTATATATGTTAAAAAGTCCACAATATTCTTGTGAATTATAAAGAGTAACAAATGTTAAAGTCAATAGCATTTTCACATTATTTTTATATGTTTCTTTTGTTTTTCGGATTGATAATACACCAATAAATACATTTAACTCATAATAACAACATGAATAGAGTAAAGTTCATAAGATATTGAGTCATTTTAAAACTAACATCTTTTATAAAATTTACTTAATATAAGATTCTATCTAATACTCTATCTGTTACAAAAATAAATTTTCTATCAGTATCTTTAGATTTAGAATCATATCATAAAAACTAATAATTTACTAGATCTCTGTCTTAATGAATAACTGCAATGTGATCCACAATGTTTTTACAAATTTAATAATAACTTTTAGTCCAATTAATAATTTAAGAAAACTTCCTTTTTTTTCAAGAAAAATTTACATGGAAAAAGTTACATACCTATAACCAATATTTAGCATAAGAAGATTTTATTTTCATCTGTCCTATTCTCAACACATATTTTAATACTTGATATTGTAAAAAAAAAAAAAATACAAAAATTCAAATT